CTGGCCCCCCGCCCAGCCTGATTCCCCCTATCTGCCCCCCCCCGCCAGCCTGGTCACCCCTAACTGCTCCCTCACAAACATGGTTGCCCCTTACTGCCCCTCCCCCCCACCAGCTTGGTCGCTATCAACAGCCCCCCTCTGCCAGCCTGCTTGTCCCACGCAGCCTGCTGCTCAGTCATTTGGTCATCCCTCACTAACTCCCCTGCCAGCCTTGTCACCCCACTCAGTGTGTTCAGTCGTCAGTTCAGTTGCGATGGCCCCTGGCTCTTTATATATATAGATATTTCATGAACATCAGTGGTTAATACATGTGATGTCTCTAATATATTACTGACTTTTGAGGTAATATTTAATAAGTTTTTTAAAAGAATCCCTGTTCAAAGCAATAAATAGTCATTCAGAAATTGTTCTACCTGATTGGATAGAAAAAGAAGGTTTCCTATGTTTTTCTCAGACTATAGGCCCTTTAGATTTATGGTTACTGCTGTGGTTGAGGGCATCCTACAGAGTAAAAGCTTAAGTAAATGAGTTGGCCTACCTCTAATCTCATTAGGTTGTCTGGGTTTAGGGAAAATAATATCCTTAGATAAGCACAGTCCAGGAAATTGGGCCTGTGAAAGGCCCTCCGTAGCATTTGTCCACAGCATCTTCTCTGCCTGGATCCCTGCCTGGCACAGTATAGCATACAGTATTAGTAGAGTTGGGTAAACTCAGAAATGAGTGAATAAGTTTCTCACATTGTTTCAGATGCTTCATAGTTAATTTTCTAAGGAAATGCTATGTAACTCAATTTGGCTGCGGCATGGGCACATGAAAGGAATTATAGGAACTAAATGTGAAAACACTGGTTGTCCCACATCATGTGAAAGAAATCTAGCTATCAAATGTCGTGAGGAGAGAGAGGTGACAAGTAGTTCATGTGATGTTCTAAATTCTTTATCTGCTAAAAGGGAACACAGTGTATACAGTTGTTGATATCGATAAGTCACAACTAGAAATGAGGTTTCATTACACAAAGCTATAAAATAAGTTGTAAAAGAGTTAAAATGGAAACTGTAAACATCGGTTGCTATTGGTGATTGAGATTAGCAGAAAGTTTACATTTTTATTTTGTATATTCTTGTGTCCTCTGAAATAAATTAATGTGCATACTTTAGTTCTGGGAGTAAATGGAAATAGATCAGATGAGCCAAACCATGCAAAGCCCTGCATGCCAAGCAAACTCTTCTTTAGCTATGCAAGCTGATGTTGCCTATTGGATGGGCTGCCTGCACACGCCCACAGTGGGCAGTGAAAGGCTCCAGTTAAGCCAATCCTCACTGAAGGGGGACACAGATGGGTTAAGATAGGAAGAGGAAGAGATAAGTCATTGACCTTAGGGCAAGTGAGAAACACCTTGTGAGTCCCTTTTCTCACATCTCCAAAATCTCATTTGCCAGTGTCTCTTGTGCAGGAAGTCACAGAGCCTGCCCAGCATCTTAATAAGCCTCTGTTGGTCATCAGGTTCCACTCCTGCTCCTGCAGACACCTCCTATCCAGGGGTAGGAGAGCATTCTCTGGTGTTTGGCACTCTGTGGAAAGCTCCTCTTCTTCTACTCACCACCTTCAACTAGAAGATGGTGCTCAGGTAAGAGTCAGTTCAGACCTGTCTTTGTTTTCACCCTTTTAGTTCACATGGTCACGACTGAATCTTGAGGGCGAGCATGTAAGGAACCATGGGCACCCATGAAGTAGGGTCCAGAGACATGAAGCTCCATCAGGGAAGCTTTGGGTGCTGGTAGCTTAGGCTGTGAGGGGCACGTCCTTTCTGCTTCACAGACATTGTTTTCAAACCTGGATTGTTGTTAATAACCTTATCTCTTCCTCTTCCTATCTTAACCCATTGTGTCCCCCTTCAGTGAGGATTGGCTTAACTGGAGCCTTTCACTGCCCACTGTGGGCGTGTGCAGGCAGCCCATCCAATAGGCAATATCAGCTTGCATAGCTAAAGAAGAGTTTGCTTGGCATGCAGGGCTTTGCATGGTCTGGCTCATCTAATCTATTTCCATTTACTCCCAGGAGTAATGTATGCACATTAATTTATTTCAGGTTATTAACAACAATCCAGGTTTGAAAACAATGTCTGTGAAGCAGAAATTACCTTGCTATTCAATGAGTTTGTTTATTTGTGTGTTATATGCATCTATCTTTCTTGTTCCAGTAATAAATACAAGGCACAAAAAAACAGAACAATTTAAGAGATTTTAATAAAAAGACTGTGTATGAAGAGTGAGCAGGACTAAGGAAAATCATTAGAGGACACAGAGGCCCCTGAAGATAAATCATAATAGGGAGCTATTGCCATTGGGCATCCTTAAGAGTAAAGGGAAAGATAAGTTGCCAGAACATAGGGAGGCCTGTAGCTGTGGCTGTAGCAATGGTTGTCACTATGACTGAAAAAAATGTCCACAGACAGGGGCTGTATCCTTAATTAGAGCAACACTGCCAACTCACAGCCTAACAGCAGAGAGGTAGAGAGTTAAAACATCAATCACCCTCCTCCTGTTCTCCAATCATCTGTCAGTGTCACCCTTTCCTGAGAACAACCAGGAGCCAGAGGGAAAGGGAGCCCAGAAGAGGGTAGAGAAGCTGGAAATGAAATTCGACATCAAATGAAGGGAACACGTTTTTCTTACAGCCCCTTCTTAGTTCTTTTTCTTAGGACTTTTTCTCTCTCACTGTGATTAGATCAATTTGTTATTACATCTCATTTATTTGATCTATTGGCAGCCCCATACTGGGTGAAACTTCTTTGAAATAATATCTCTATCATCATAAATGCCTTGAAGATGGAACATACATTATTTTTCAAGGTGGTTGTATACAAATATTTTTAAGAATTTAACTTAATGATTTTGGTAGCCCTAGAGAAGAAAAGCAAGAGAGCTTACTAGAACTTGACTGGTGATTTCAAGGCATCAAACACCTGTGCTGTTTCAAATCACTGCTCCCCAGTCCTAGAGAGGTGACTTCATTCTCATGCAGGGCTCCTGAAGTCATCAGCATTCCAATCAGAGAAGAGGGGAAGGAAAGGCACAACCTAAAATTGGTTACATCACTGTTCTCACCTCCCATTGGCTACCACCTGGTCACATCGTGCCATCAAATGGGAATGGAAACTGGGATTAGAATCCATTTTCTCATCTAAAATTCTCAGAACTATTATGTGAGAGAGAAGGAAATGGATATTTAGACCAATTAGCATTTTCTACACCCTGAAGCTCTCTCACGTTCTGAGCTCACACGAAGAATTTGCTCAGGTGCTGATCCCACAATGAGGCAGGGAACAGTGGGAAAGCCTCAGGCTGGGCTCCAGGGGGCCAGGGCTGGCATTGGACCTGCTGTTCACCCTGTGATCTCAGGGAAATCCTTTGGCTCTTTCAGCCTCAGCTTCTTCCTGAGTTAAAGGATGATATTATAGCAGATGGTCTCTAAGGGACATGTGCTCAATGCTGAGGATACAATAGTGAACAACAAGAAAAAAAGGCAAAATCCAAACAGATCTAGTCATCATTATTAAGTTTTGAGTTTTCTTTTTTTTTCTTTTTTTTATTATTATTAGATATACATGTATACAAGTCCTTCGGTTGATCTCTTCCCCTTACACCCGCCTTCCCCTACTTCCCTTCTGGGGATTGATAGCCTGATCACTGTTTCTCAGTCTTTGGGTCTGTCCCTTTTCATCAGTCTATGTTGTTCTCTATAATCCACAAATGAGTGAGTTTTAAAAAGCAGACAAACCCTAGCAGGTTTGACTCAGTGGTTAGAGCAGTGCCCACAGACTGAAGGGTAGCGGGTTAGATTCTACTGGGGGAGCCTGTGCTGGCTGAACCAGGCAAGACTCCACTGATTGGGTCTGTCCAGAGGGAAGAAGGAGCCCCTGGAATCTCTGATCTGTTCTCAGCTGGATTCCACCCCCTTCATCTACACTGGATAAGCTTCTCTACTTTGTTATTTGTGAAATTTGCCAATTCTAGCTTAATAAAACACACTAGTGAGTTGCCATTTGAGATTTCTCCCTGAGAGTTACTTGCTTCCTGCCCCACTACACCCCATGTGTACGGGACACAACACCTGGTAGTGGGGCTGCAGGGCAGGAGAAGAGCGAACACTCTGACACAGACCTGTGGGTTCAGATCCAGGCTCTTCCACTTGTGCACGTGAGAACTGGAGCATGTCATTCAACCTCCCTGTGCTTGTCTTTTCCCATATGCCAGATGGGTATAGGCATAGTGCTGGCCTCATAGGGCTATTTGAGGATTAAAAGAGGAAATACCATGTAAGCACTCATCAGCTGCTACTCTTCACCTATGTGTGAGTTGGTTTATGTTTCTCACCTAAATTCTGCAAGAGCTTCTCTCTTTTCATCCAAAGCCCTTTGTAAAATAGAAGTAAGCACTTCTTAACTCCACCACTACCACGAGAATTCTCTTATACAAAAGCTTTGATCTGCAAAGATACCTCTACTCCAAACCACATGGAGTGGCAATAAATGACTTTTATATTTCACATATCATCAGAAAAGCACTTAATAACTCCATTTTTTCTTTTTATTTACTTTATTGTTTAAAGTATTGCAGATAGTAGTACATATGTCTCCTTTTTATTTTCCCCCATTGACCTTCCCCCCGGCCTCCCCTACCCCCCGGCACATGTCCTCCCCCTGCTCCCCCCGCAGTGTCTTGCATCCACTGGTTGTGCTTATATGCATGCTTACAAGTCCTTCGGTTGATCTCTTACCTCCTCCCCCAACCTTCCCCAGCCTTTCTGCTGTAGTTTGACAGTCTTCCCCCAGCCCCCAAACACTCTCCAGCCTTCTGACTGTAATTTGACAGTCTGTTCCATGCTTCTCTGCCTCTGTATATATCTTTTTGTTCATCAGGTTATAAAGTTCTTTATTATCCATAAATGAGTGAGATCATGTGGTGTTTTTCTTTCTTATTTCACTTAGCATAATGCTCTCCAGTTCCATCCATGCTGCTGCAAATGGTAAGAATTCCTTCTTTTTTATAGCAGCATAGTATTCCATTGTGTAGATGTACCATGGTTTTCTAATCCACTCATCTGTTGATGGGCGTTTAAGTTGTTTCCAAATCTTGGCTATTTCTATCTCAACTACCTCTATTCAAACCCTTGGCCACCTATATCTCATTCATAAATAGGCTTCTTTCTCCTCCAAAATGCAGAAAAATTTAATTCAGTCCTGAATCCTCTCCCACCTGGATAGGATGTGTCTGGAGTCATAAAAAAATTCTTTCAAACACACAAGAGCTTTGCACAGAATGAATAATTAGAAATGGAATTTTCTTTTTGTTACATATGCGTTTTTTGGTGATGGATTTAAAAGTGCTGATTTCTGTTTTACATTTCAAATTCTTCATTTAAAAAATTCTATATTATATTAAATCCAAATATTCTTCTTCCCTTGGGCTCCTCATTCATTCTTTCATTCACTCATTCATTTGTCTATTAAAATTTTATTGACAGCCCCATTTTGTTTCCACACAGACTTAGGTCCTAGGGATACAACAATGGAAGAGTAATAATTGTATATCCTCATAAAGATGACCCACTGGGACATTTCTAATGCAAAAGCTTTGGGGGTCCTTACTCTGTCCTAATAAGGGGTCTCATTCCCTTCATGAGCTTAAGTCATAACCTCCTTTCTCCCTCCTGGGTAGACCACTCTCAGTCACTGAGATTGCCCTGGGGCTTCTGACAGCCTGCTGTCAATCAAAGCCACTCTCCAAGAGCACAAGCACTGGGGAACTCAGGACCCTGCTGTCATCCACAGGACCTGGGCAGACTCTTCTCCTCCTGCCTCCAGGGCACGTCATGGGCTCTATGGTGAGTGGAGAGGTTGGACATAGAGGGTCTGTGTTGCAGTAGAAAGAGCCCAGGCTCTAAGATTCAGAGAGAACTGGGTTTAAATTCAGGATCCAAGACTCCAAGACTGTGTGGGTCAGAAAGAATCTTAATCTCTGGAAGCCTCCATACGCCACAGACAGGGTGGCCATGAGGGTCTGTGGTCATAGAGCAGGTGCTCAAGTCTTGTTTTGTTTCCAGGTCTACAACTGCAGCGTTTCTGAGCACGGATATGACTGTCACAGCCTGGAAGACCAACTTCACAACAACCAATGGAACTGATCAGGCCTTTCATCTACATTATGTAGGGATCATAATCCTGGATTTACTGACAGCCATCGTGTTCATGGGGGGGCTGGCAGGCAACGTCGTGGTGCTCTGGCTGCTGGGCTTCCGCATGCACAAGAACGCCTTCTCTGTCTACATCCTCAACCTGGCGGGGGCTGACTTCCTCTTCCTTTGTACAGGTACCCTAAGATCACTTTTTGAATTTAGTTTTTACCTTAGAGGAATCAGCAGATTTACCATCCCTGTGTTAATCTTTGCCTACATCTCAGGCCTGAGCCTTCTCAGCGCCATCAGCACGGAGCGCTGCCTGTCTGTCTTGTGGCCCATCTGGTACCGTTGCCGCCGCCCCCAACACATGTCTGCCATAATGTGTGCCCTGCTCTGGGCCCTGTCCCTGCTGCTGAGCATCCTGGAAGGGAACTACTGTGGCTACCTGGTTAGGAACATGCATCATGTTTGGTGCCCATTGTTGGATTTCATTAGTGCGGCGTGGCTGATTTTGCTGTTTGTGATTCTTACTGGGTCCAGCCTGGCCCTGATGACTAGACTGCTGTGTAGCTCCAACCGGGTTCCCTTGACAAGGCTCTATGCGACCATCATGCTCACAGGGCTGGTCTTCCTTCTCTGCGGCCTGCCCTTCGGCATCCACTGGTTCCTCGTATTCTGGTTTCAAAAAGATTTTGAAACCTTTGTTCCTAGTTACTTGGTGGCATTTCTCCTGTCCTGTGTCAACAGCGGTGCCAACCCCATCATTTTCTTCTTCGTTGGCTCCTTCAAGCAGCGATGGTGGAAGCGGAGACACACCCTGAGGCTGATTCTCCAGAGGGCTCTGCAGGACACTCCTGAGGTGGATGAACCTGAAGAAAGCCTTCCTGGGGAAACCCTGGCCATGTCAGGAAATCTGGTGTCCTGATTCAGACTGTTGCTTTGTTCAGACAGATGTGACTTTGAAAGCCAGCTTTGTCCCTCTCATTTGATTGGTTTTCTTACCATAGTTGCTGTCTGGGTCCTATAATTAAAACTATTAACATAATAATCCAGCTCTTGAGGTTGAAGTGAGCCAGTGCCTGTCAAATAAACACAGAGTACAATGTCCCAGGACTGCCTCACCCAAGGCCTTCACCCCATCCCCATGGGAGCTTTGCCATCTCTGGGGTCCAGGCCTGCTCTCACATTTGAAGAATCCCACCTATAGCAAAAGATGAAGTGCAGGAAAAGTCTAAATTTCTTTTATCACTGAACTTGATAGAAACTGCATGAACATTACATTTTTGACAAGTTTTTGTGATCATTCTCCTACAATGTCTCTGTAAATTAAATGAATTAAAGTTTAATCAAGCGCAAGTGAGCAGGCTTTGATGATTTTTGCAGGCCTTGGGCTAGCTCTTTAGCATAATAAATGTGGATTGAAT